GGCCAGGAGCCCCTAGTAGCGTCCTTGCTCCTAGTAGCGATGCCCTTTGCTCCTCGTAGTAAGGCCAGGAGCCCCTGGTAGCGTCCTTGCTCCTAGTAGCAATGCCCTTTGTTGCTAGGAGCAAGAATGCTACTAGTAGTAATGCCCTTTGTTAACGTAAAGAAAGAAAGCCAACAAACTTTTTTTAGCCCAGGCGGTTGGCCACTCTGAGCAAGCCGTTAGGTAATTAGGTACTGGACGCTCCTAGATAGGACCTAGATATTTTGGGAAATTGCGTTTCGCACCATATTCTGCTCTGTGAGCCTAGCTTTTTTGATGAGAGAAGTACAATTGCAGGTTCATGCTTGGACCATGTACGACGTGGTAAAGGACCGTGGCACGAAGTGACATGAAGATCAATGCTTTGCGTGCCGTATTTGTTGAGCAGTTAAAATGTTTGCCACAGTTTTCGGGTTATCTTAGGACTGACTGTACACTGTACTTGGTTTATCTATCCGCTTTTTGTGGGAGCTGTGTTGCAGGAGGCAGTAAAGGAAAGATGTGTCACGGATCAAATCTCCTACGTAGAATACCTGCAAAGAGAGGTTCGAAAAGGGAAGTCGGAGAAGGAGTTCAAAGCGACTCTGCAGAGTTTTCACTTTGTTTCTTTTTAGCCCGTCGGGGGGTAAGGCTGCTAGAAGAGGTAATTAAAGTAGCTAGTAGAGACTAGGTAGCTACTAGCTACTAGTAAGCTAACTGGAGGATAGCTCACGCTTCTTCTAGGGAAACTTAACTATAGCGGTGGCCTGCAAGCTACTAGAAACTTTTTGGACTTTGACCTAGACTGTCGCACGCGAACAGAGCACTCACTTGCAGATGTTGGAGGTGTTTTGTACATCACTTAAACTAAAACACTCAATTTGCCTCACCTTCAATTAGGTGGATTTGTCCAAAATGCTTGCTCTGAGGCGAAGACTTTTGTGTCGCACTGGTGGGGCGAAGAGTTCAAGGACTTTGTGGCCGCTTTGGATCGCTATGCCACGGACCGATGCATCAAGAGGCATTCCGCGCGCTTCTTTTTTACGTTTGCTTTGCCCTCACCCTTAATTAGGCGCCTACTTAATCAAGTAAGGGCTGTTTACAAACTACCAGGTAACCTGCTGCTAGCTAGGACGCAAGATAGCTCACTATTCATTTTGTTCCTAGATTTAAGAAAGGAGAGGTACTTCATTGAATTTTGTTTCGTTTTTGATATTTGTGCTTGCGTTGCTTTTCCTTGCTTTTCACTGCTTCTTTGCTTTTCTTGCTTTTCTACCGCATGTGAAAACTCCAGTCTCAGACTTGCTGCTTCGTGTATGATTGCCATCAGTCCCATGGGCATCAGAAGTTCCGAATTGCCATCCGAGGGAATTGCAACTGCAGAAAAAAAATCAAGACCACGTTTTCAATATTTCTATGTAGTTAAGTTATAATCAAAGGAAGTTTAGAAGGAACTTCCGTGTTACGGACATTCAACAGCTGTTCAACCACCACTCATCATACACCACTCATCAGATTTCGAGGCAGGTGCAGCAATTTGTGAACCTCCATGTGCAGATTTCGTGGCAGGTGCAATACAAAATGCGTTTTCGCGAGATAGCGGACGCACGAAATGCTGTATTTTTCAATAGAACCGGTGGCTTCGAACCTGGCAAGTCTAGCTCTGCGGAACGACTGTTGCGAGACTGTCTCGGGTCATGCTCGGTCGGCCGTCCATTGTGATTAGGTTTTCACTTGTCTCTTGAAGTGCAGATTTCGTGGCAGGCGCAGCACTTTGTGAACCTCCATGTGCAGATGTCGTGGCAGGTGCAGCACTTTGTGAACCTCCAGGCGCAGATTTCGTGGCAGGCACAGCACTTTGTGAACCTCCAGGTGCAGATGTCGTGGCAGGTGCAGCACTTTGTGAACCTCCAGGCGCAGATTTCGTGGCAGGCACAGCACTTTGTGAACCTCCAGGTGCAGATGTCATGTCAGGCACAGCACTTTGTGAAAACCTCCATGCGCAGATTTCGTGGCAGGCACAGCACTTTGTGAACCTCCATGTGCAGATGTCGTGGCAGGTGCAGCACTTTGTGAACCTCCAGGTGCAGATTTCGTGGCAGGCACAGCACTTTGTGAACCTCCAGGTGCAGA